TATTTAAACTAACTTCTATATATTAAATTTAACTCTTTAATCCTTCAATGAATTTGTGAGTCTTTTGTGTGTATTTAATTGGTAAGAAGTGAGAAAATTACCAAAATGACGAGAAAAGTAGACACTAACAGTTTTTTTTTTTTAACTGGATCGGTTTTTTCGGTATAAAACCAAAACCGAACCGTGTTTTCGGTTACAGAATATTCGGTAACCGACTTTGATCGGTTCGGTATCGGTTTTGGATTTTGAGGTTACCGACATTATTGGTTCGGTATCGGTATACGCTTATCGGTTTGGTAACCGATACCACCCCTAGTTCGTATGTGATTTGAATCTGCGACTCTTATCTGCTTGTGTGCTAGTGTGTGTATGTGTGTTTGTGTGCTTTTCCTATTAATGGAAAAAACTGCTATTTGTGCATTGAGGTCTTGTTCTTTTCTAGTTGTCTTACCCGATGGTTCCTTTTGCTGTAACTAATTGTGTAGTTCAATCAGTGTTTGAAAACGCCTATAGCGAAATGCATCACATTTTGGTATTTATACTGTGTTGCATAAATAGCATTGCGTGTTGTGTAAACTATTTGAGTATAAAAAACTATTTTTATACAAATATTATAAATATATTTGCATAGAATAAAACTGGATGATTGATTACAAAAATTATCATAATAATTGAATGAGCCAAAAAATAACATCTAAGAATTATTTGTCACAAATGCTATAATGTAAATATCATAATATAAATATTTAGATAATAAAACGTTCACATACTGAAAAGTAAAAATAAACAACGAAAATATAATGAACTTTTAAGTATGTGCATTTTAATCGTTATTTTTATTTAATTACAACTTCATTCTAACCACTATAATGAACTTTTTATTTTATATTTAAATTTTAAATATCAAAAATTAAAATGATATATTATAAATGGACCGATAAATATTACACTATTCAACTTAGGACTTTGTATTTTTAAAATTTTATTTTAATATCGTTATCAAAAGTTTAGTTTTTTGTTTTCATTTGAAAATATGACTCTAATCCCTAAAAAATACGAGTTTTAGAATATTTTATTGGTTAAATGCCGTTGCAGAAATATAGCGCAATGCCGCGCACAACAACGTAAAATAACGCAGAATAGCGTGTCATTTCATTATCTGGCGTAAGTTTTTTGAAAAAAAAAACG